ACACACACACACCACACACACACACACACATACACGCCCGCGTGAAAAGAAGAATCTCGAGCCTTCCTCAAAGATGGGAAGAGGGCGAGTCGCTCCCTCTGTTAGTGGCATTAGCCAGGATGACGTTATGTTTATCGGCGGGACATGCTTGTGGTTTAAGTGGGAGAACAGACGAGGCACGATAAGGAGGCGGATCAGAGGGGACTAATTACGTAAAGTGGGAAATATGCAGGGTATCTCGCATTCTACGTAAGGTCAGTGCAGTACAGGGCAGCCTTTTGGCATCCACGCAGCGCCAGCAGGGCAAGACTATCTACGTGTCGGATATATTCATAGACGTGTACTCTTAGATCGCACACTGGTATGGCCGCCGTTCTTCGTTCTTTAAAACAAACAAACTTCGCTGCTAAGCGTGCACACCTTAGGCAGCGCCATCACACCCAAATGAAGAACTAACCAGGGGTTCCTCTTTTCTCTCCCCCCCCCCCCCCCTTTTTTCGAATACTCGCGGCTGTTTTGCCCCTTTACCCTTCATTTGGCCCAAACGGAATCAAACGGCACGCTTCATAATGAACCGGAAATACGTCAGCGTGCACAATCGGGGATATTGTAGTAAAAGTCAATGATCATAAAACAAATGTAGTTGGAAAATAACAATTGTCTATAAAGAATCATGCCATTTTGGGAAAGAAAGGTTAGTAAAAGAGAATTTGAGAAGGTCGAAAAGATGAGATAGGGGAGTCGAGGAAGGATCGAGTTTGGGAAATAGGGGGCAACAAGAAAAAGTGAAGATGGAAGGGGGGGTGGGGGGTGGGGCAGTTTCATATACTATTCTGCTTACATATTTTTCTTTGCCTCCGTCTCTCCTTACGCTCATTTACTCTTGCAGCATGAAGTTAGGTTTGCGCTTATCTAGCTGTTTTGCCTGTGCGTTTTCAGAGGTCTGTGTGTCCTGTATAGAAAAGATTCGGTTATTGAAATGTTGTGTCAGGCCGATACTGGTACTCGTTACATTGATTGTTTTCCTTTTCTTTCATGTCTTCAGGCAAAAAATGGAGAAGTCTGAGCCCGAGTCAAAAGCAGCCGTTCATCGACGAGGCGGAGAGGATCCGGGTTCAACACACGCAGGATTACCCTGATTATAAGTACAGACCTCGACGACGTAAACACTTGAAGAAGCCGGGGAACAGTCGCTCCGAATCAACTGCATCGTCTGGCTCTTCCTTTTCCACAGACCAGCCAGACGAGAGCCCAAAGAAGACGCAAGGAGATTTATGCAAAACATCTGTGTCAAATCGGCCTGAAAACATGGCTGCAGATCCGTCTCCGAACTTGCCAGAACTGACAGGTCTGTTTCCAAGTCCTGTCACGTCATCGCATTGTGTAACTTCGACAAGCTGTAAGGTGGTAAATGCACTGACCAATTTCATGACGACTAATGACCGTGCTCTGTTCAACTCTTCAAGCTCCTCAAATTTCATGTCAGCCTCTGCTGGAAGCAATACAGAACTCAGCCTGAGCCAATCCAGCGTAACATCTGTAGCGGGTATGGCGCACTCGAAACAGTATTTTCAGTCTAACAATAACTACCAGTCTTGTTCCTCATTGTTGGACAAAATGTCTACGTTTGCAACGACAGGTTGTCAGGCAAAGAGCTCGCTTCCAAATGCCGACCCACCGTCAAACACGACGTCTGAAGTGAAAACTGAACAGATGACCAACCTTTCAAGCAATACGACTTCTTTCAGCTTTGAGAAAGACAGTTATTTCTCAGAGGACAGTGCATCTGTGAACATTCCACTGCTATCCTTCTTCGACCCTCCGGCAAACTTTGAAGACAATAAAATAGCTAGAACTGGCCCAGGCATTCACTCTGTTGTTACATTTGACAACCAAAACAATGAAAATGGCAGTCACGAGCAATTTAATGAATCACAATTCTCGAATTTCGATAGGATTAACAACGATTTGGAGAGCTATTTGGACAAAAGTGCGTCCTCGACCAGCTCCAAATTGACGACAGAACGTTGGTTGTCCAACAACACTACTCATGGTATTTTCTCCTCGACCTCATCCGCAACACTTTCGACGTTCGACGTGTCTAGAACTTCCCAGTCTACACCAGACAGTAAGTGCAATTCGGTGTACCAACAATTCCTTGCGTCCCCAGAGATGAGCATGGTGGAAACGCCCGACACTGCCAAAGTACTGGAGTACAGCCTTGACCTACAGGCCAAGTACATCCATCATCTTAAGTCAACACAAGACGATGGTTGTGAGGTGCAATTCTCCGGAGATCTTGTACCTGAAATCATGAGTGTACAGGTCCCTGAGCGCCACTCCTACCCCGAGCCGGCGATGTTGTCTACGAGTTCCGCCAAAGAACATTTCGTAATGCGCCAAGACAGTAGGCAGACCTCATGCAGCAGCGACATCTCCGATGTGTCCAGTTTCAGCGACTTCTCCGACCACGACAAACCGAGGAGACGCCCACTGTTCTTGCGGCAAGCGTCTATTTGCGAACGCGAACAACAACCAGAGAGTCCTTTGTACTTTGACCCAACACCAGAGTTGGCAAGAGGCCAACCCCAGCCTCGCATGCCCACTCAGCAAGTATTCAAACCCTTGGAGACTCCTGAACTAAAACATTTGAACACCCCGTCAAATTTGGGCATACCTTCATTCCTGGAGCCGCCACATTTCGGAAAGACATTCGTCCCGCCAAAAATGACGGCCACCAATCCTAGTAGCATACCCAGCACGAGCAGCGCTCCCTGTTTTAGTCACAACAACCACAACACAGAGCTCAGTATCCCTACAACTTGTGGCACAAGCTCAAGCGGGGCGGTAACACCTTGCAATAACAACAACAACACAAACGCTGACCCTCAACGAAATAGCTCGGGGGATGGGACGTCCTGTTGGATGACAGCTCCCAAGGGTGTGAGTCCCACAGACAACACCCGGCCGCTAGAACCTGCAGGTGAAGCTCCCTCTCCTGTAATAGCAAGTCCGTACCGTCACAGCACGTCTGTGTGCGAGTCCGACTCGACGTCAGATGGAGGTCTGTCTCACACCTCCAGCACTTACGATTTGGCACTGGATCTGAACACCGTGCTCTTCGAGACACAGGACGAGGAGGAAAATCTGGAGGAACAGGAGTTGCTCATCAGAGCCATGACAAAACATGCATTCTGAGTTGCACAAACGATGTCCGTGCAACAAAAGATTTAATGGTCCTTGAGACGTTTAGTGCTGCTGAGGAAAGAACAGCTCAGCTGGGGTAACAGCTTTAGAACTGTCGGAAAAAGCCAATTCAGAATACAAACAAAATATAAGTCAGGTACAATTATTTCAATTCCTGAACGTCGACACAGAATTAACATTTAACCAAGCTTTCAGAAGGACGGACTCTGAAGAAGCCACACGTTCGTTCTTGAGGGAAAAATACGTTTTAAAAAATACACACACAAAAACTAAACGTGTAGACGTATACCTTATTGAGGCTTAACATTTTGTCTTCAACCTCATCGCCATTTCACTCTTATCAGATTTTTTGTTTGTTTACTCATTTGTTTGTTATGCAATCAGCAAACAAGTTTGATCTGTACGGTTTTAGAGTGCCTTTGTACACACACAGCTTCGAATATACCCTTAGCTTTTCTACATTCTGGTATCGGGTAGTCTTTCCGCC